CCAGGAAATAAGTGGGGAGAAAAAAAATCTAATTTATTTGTTTTACAATCTGTATAAAAATTCCAGAATCAGACACACATCTACAGGTGGTTTTGAAAAGTAAATGAGAGGCCATGGATTTGTAGATGTCCTTACTTCTCCATGGGTTTAGAGAGTGATGAGTTTAGTGATGGATCTCAGGTCCTGAACTTCCCGCCAGGTCACTGCCACTAACATATAATAAGATAAAGTTGACATTAAAGAACACAACTGACTTGAACTCCTTTCCTAGAAACACTTGAGATTGTGGGAGGTCTGAGGACCATTCACTGCTAATGTCAACTTTATCTTGGTTTTGTGACTAACATAAGCAAGATTTAAGGAAATGTGCAAACATCTATAGTAAGCTGTGCCCACAGGAAAATCCAGCACCCTGTATTTCTGCTTTCCCACTTCCTTTCCCTCCTTCCTTCAACACGTACCTGAACTCGTCCCTCACTTCTACTGCCGTGCTCCCTGTTATCACAAACACATCATCCATGTCATCAGTCAGCATGTTGCAGGCATAACCAATGTTGATGGCAGTTTCTGGTACAAAGTAAAATTACCTCAGTCAATGTTATTTAATAACACAAGTATACTTTTTTGTAAATTTTTAATTGAATTTTTGTGTATTTCATATACAACATCTTAATCATCTTTATACCCCCTTTCCGATTGGCACCCTCCCATAGGCCCCCAATGGATTTCATGCATTCTGTCATTTGTGTTAAGACATATCAAGTCACCTTAGTATCCCCAGATGTTCCTCAGTGCAAGTTCATCCACTGCAGTCTAGTCAGCCTACCAAGAGTCCTTCCCTTTAAGAAGATCAGCTCTTCCTCACCTGGCAGTAATCAGCTGCCAATAATTATTGGACTAAGATCGGGGCCTGCTGCCCATTTCCACAGTTCTATGTTGGGTTCTTGTCTGCTTGAGTTTGCACGAATCTTGGTCTTGTAATAACACAAGTATACTTTCTTTCATACAGTTTTGAAGCTGGAGTTGTGTTTCCCTGTAGCCTATCAGCCCCACTAATGTTAGAGAACATAAAATGAATGATAAAATGCAAGTGACCTGGCAGGAAGTTCAGGACCTGAGATCCATCACCAAACTCATCACTCACTAAACCCATGGAGAAGTAAGGACATCTGCAAATCCATGCCTCTCATCTCCTTTTCAAAACCACCTTTAGATTTTCAAATTAATACCCAGAAAGATATTCTAAGGTCTTGTGGTACACTGAAATAAACAAATGCAAAACTTTTGACCTTAAATCTTAAATAATCTCTTCAGAGTGCTAAAAATGTTAAACTTGGTTAATATTCAATTCTAATATAGTAGGCAAATAATTGGGAAAAAAACTCACAAAACGTTCAGCTGAACAATAACAAAGTTCTTACAAATTTTTTTATAGTTCTCCCACATAGGACATTGCCATTTCCCACTAAATAAATATTAATTTTCAATTTAATCATCATGTCAAGAACCACCAGGACTGCTCTACCAGAGAACTGGATAATTACATGCTAATTGACAGGTTTTCTTCTAATGTTACAGTCATTCAATTCTAGGTATATAGAATTATTTACCACTAGCTATTTCTACAGAATTACAAGTCTTGCCTACAAAAAAAGACAGTTGACAAAATCTCAGTATAATGTTTGTATAAGCCATAGAAATTAAAGATAAATAATAGTAAATTCATAGATATTTGTATTGAACCACTATACCCACAGATCAATTAATGCCAACAAATTCCTAGAGAGTAAGTACTTTATAGTATTAGAATGCCCAACTCACTAGTGTTTATTTTATTATTTTATTTTAGTTCAGTTTTTTTGGTCTTTTTGAGACAGGGTCTCCCTGAAGCCCCAGCTGGTCTGGAACTCACTATGTAGACCAGGCTGGCCTTGATCTCACAGAAATCTGCCTGCCTCTGCCTCCTGAGTGTTGGGATTAAAGGCATGCATCACCACAACCAGTCTACAACTCTTATTTCTCCACTTCATAAGGAAGGCTGGGCCTCCATAGCAAACAGTGACACAGCAGGCAGCCTTTCAGTTCCTAAATATAATACAACACCTTGGACCGTCTCAACTTAGTGGCCTATTTCTGTAGGGTATATAGGTAGGTAGTTGAAAGATTTGGATAGATAGATAGATAGATAGATAGATGACAGATGATAGATAGATATAGAAGATAGATAAATGATAGATAGATGGTGATGATAGATAGATAGATGATAGAGATATGATAGATAGATAGATAGATAGATAGATAGATATAGAAGATATAGATATTTGATAGATATAGATGATAACACGTGGGGGTCACAGGAAAACTTTCAAGAGTTGGTTCTCCCACATTGTTTTTGAGGCAACGTTTCTCTCTCCCTCCTTCTCCCCCCATTCTCTCTCTCCCTCTGTCTCTCTCTCTCTCCTCTCAATTTATTTAATTTTATGTGTATAAATGCTTTACCTGCATGTACGTAAGCAGACCATGTGCATGTGATGCCTGCAGAGGCCGGAAGACGGTAGCAAATCCCCTGGAACTGGAGTTATTTGTTTGCCTTCATGTGGGTACTGGGAACAGAGCCTGTGTCCTCTGGAAGAACAGCCAGTGCTCTTAATCACATCACTGAGCCATCTCTCCAGTCCCTGCAGGATCTCCCTTGCTGTTTCTGCTGGACTTCATGCTCAAGGCTACCTGGCTACCAGCTTCTGGGCAATTCTCCTTTCTCCACTTGCTAGGCGTCCTGGGATTACAGAAGTGCAACACTGTATCTGGTTTTCACTTGGGCTGAAGGGGCCAAACTCAGGATTCAGGCTTGTGCAGCAAATATCTTTCCCTGACCAGCTGTCCTCTGGCTCCTCTTTTGTTTTTTACTCTAAAAAAAATCCATACTTTATTTTATGTATAACAATATGGTTTACATATTAAATAGCCCTACAATAGAATGGTTTAACCAGTTTAACCAGTTTAACCAGAAGAAAAAAGAAAAAAGTTTTAGGTTACAAAACCCCTCCTCCAACACACAAAAAAACATTTTTTGAGACAGGATCTCACTATGTAGCCCTGGCTGGCTTGGAACTTGCTATGTAGACAAAACTGGCTTCAAACTCACAGAGCTCTGCCTGCTTCTGCCTCCTAAGTGTTGGAATTAAAGGCAGGTGCCACCACACCAGACCCTAAACAATTTTTTATTTTTGAGACAGGGTCTCCCTGAAGCCCCAGCTGGTCTGGAACTCACTATGTAGACCAGGCTGGCCTTGATCTCACAGAAATTTATTTTTGTAATTGATAATTTTGTTAGAAAAAAAAAGAATTAGAGGTGCTAGTGGCACAGGACTGCAATTCTTTGGGAAGGGGATTAAAGGCATGCATCACCACAACCAGCTCTACTATTTATTTTTGTAATTGATAATTTTGCTAGAAAAAAAAGAATTAGAGGTGCTAGTGGCACAGGACTGCAATTCTTTGGGAAGCAAAGGCAGAGAGGATCACAAGTTCAAGGCCGGCCTGGGCTACACAGTAAGTATGAGGCTATCCTGGGCAATTTAGTGAGACTCTATGTCAAAACAAAAAGTAAGGGGGTGGGGATATGTACCTAAGTAATAGAACATCCAGTTCAGCATGTGTGAGTCAAATACTTTCATCAACAGTACTGCAAAGAAGAAAAGATATAGATGATAGATCGATGATAGAGATAGATAGATATGATAGATAGATAGATAGATAGATAGATAGATATAGAAGATATAGATATTTGATAGATATAGATGATAGATTTAGATGATAGATGATAGATAATTGATTTATCCCATCTATGAACACTTAAATTCTCTAAAATGTATCTAACAAGTGGATATAGTCTTTAATATAAGTATGTGTTGAGCTGTAGAGATGGCTCCACAGTTAAGTGCACTGGCTGTTCTTGCAGAAGACCCAGGTTCAAATCCCAGCACCCACATGGTGGCTAACAATCATCCACATAACTCCAGTTCCAGGGGATCTGACATCGTCTACTTTCCTCTATGGGCAGTACACGACACAATTATGCTTACACTCCTGCAGGCATAACACTCATGCACGTAAAATTAAAATAAATAAATAAATCTAAACTATAAGCACATGCCAGTTAACTAAATACTTTGCATTTCCTAAGGTATGAAATAATTTTTAACTCTCAATGCTAGCAATAGATTTAAATTTTATAAAAACTTTTTCTTTCTTAAGAAAACGTTCTGAACATAATGGCATAGCCTTTGGTCATTCCTAAAAGTGGATTGCTGAACCACTGTACAGGCAATCCTGGAATTTAGCCAGACTGTACTGGCATAATTATAATCATTGTTAAAATAGTTTACAAAAAGTTTATAAACAGCTGTCTCCTTTCACCTTTCCAAAGCTTACTCACCACCCTCACCTCTTCTGCAACATCAAGAAACTAAAGGAGACCTCAAGGTCCCCAAAGTCTTACTTCAATGCTGTGCCACTACCTACCTTGACAGGGGACAAGACTCATATGAAAAATTTGTGAGGTATTTTTCTCTGTAAGGGTAAGTGGCAAATGTTTTGAGTGGCAAATGTTAGTTTGGTTTAGCCTTTATTTTTATTTTTTTTATTTTTGATTTATTTATTTATTTTTACTTTATGTGTATGAGTGTTATGCCTACATGTGTGTAAGTGCACCCGTGTCATGCAGTGTTCACAGGGGGTGTCAGATTCCCTGGAACTAGCTTTACAGAAAGCTGTTAGCCACCATATGGGTGCTGAGATTTGAACCTGGGTCTTCTACAAGAACAGCCAGTGCTCTTAACCACTGAACCATCTCCCAGCCCATATTTATTTATTTTTAATTTTAAGTGTATGAGTGCTATGCCTGCATGTATGTAAGTGCCCTTGTGCATGCAATGCCCAGAGAGACCAGAAGAGGACATAGGACCCCCTAAAACTGGAGTTACAGATGGTTGTTAGCTGCCATCTGGGTGCTGGGAACTGAATCTAGGTCCTCTACAGGAGCAGCCAGGCCTCTTAACCTCTGAGCCATCTCTCTACCCCCCCATTTGTTACTTTTTAAATAGTAGGTTCTTAACACATATTAGCTTTCTTTTTATATTTCAATTTTTCTGTGTGGAGGACTAAAAAGAAATCTAATTGGTTGAAGGTTTTGATTAGTTAAAATTTTACCAAAGAATTAACTCCCCCACTTCAAACATCATAATTTCCCATTTCCAAATTACCTTGTTTGTCTCCTGTTAGAACCCAGATCTTAATATTGGCTAGAGATAAACTTGCAATCGTTTCAATAACACCTTCCTGTAACTTATCTTCTACAGCAGTGGCACCTAACAGCTTCATTAGGAAATAAATAATAACTCACGTTAACACACGTAAACAACATCTGTAACATCTATAGCTTTCATTCAGAGTTTAAAGGTCAAGGAACAGGAAATGAAGACAACTTATAATATGTTAATATAGTAAGCAGACTAGTGTGTACATAAATTGATCAATCAGATTAGACCCCAAAAGGAAGTTCCCAAGTTAAGTCAGTTTAAGAGCAGAGACCCAGAGAGGTAGAATTCACATGAGGGACATGATATGCTCAGATAACTCATTAACATAAATGGTCAAAGTCCACTTGGCCTCAAATGACTTAAAAAGTTCTTAGCTGCTTCTCAACTTTCAACAAAAATGAAGAAATTCAAAGGAAAACCCTCAGCCCACAGAAAACTGAGGGTGTGGGGTGGTGGGGAGGGAGTAGTATCATTCTCTATATTAACAGACCAGCAGATGCCATAACAAAGTAAAGAGTATTCAATTTTCCTCCAATGGTAAAGAAGACACGCTTCTCGCTACTCATTTCCTTGGTCACCCGGCCCTCTGAGAAGACTGGTTTCTAAAAATAGACCACACTGTAATGGTAAAGATATCATCAAAATCTACTGGGCCTGGGATAGTTTAGTGCCACAGCCCCGCATTTCATAGCAACTTTTTCTGAGGTTAAAAAAAATAAAAAAAAGTGGACCATGAAGCAGGGAGAGAGATTAAAAACAATGTCAAAGATAAACCAGAGGCTGACAAATAAGGGGGAGTCTACTATCTTCTACTTTGGGGAAATTTCCAACTGCATATGTTATTGCTAACAAAAATAAACATCTAAGTTCACTGGGGCCACACATTGCAAGCTCAAAGCCAATATATAAAACATGATTCAGTGTTTGAAAGGATAACATCTGCTGCATGCAAGATCATTTAGCCAATGGCTTATTCCAGTGCTAGAGCTCCAAACACATGCTACCCGTTAAGTAGCGTAAAGCATCATGCTTCCAAACATATACCATCAGATCTCTTTCGATTTCTTCATACACTCCAGAAATCCGCTCATCCCTCTCATCCACGGCAGCATCTGCATCTTCAAGCATCTTTTGCCACACTTTAAAATACTTGTCATCAAGATCTCTATAAGCAATCGCCAAGGTTCGAAGGCCTTCCCCTGCAAAATCCTGCCCGAGAAGATGTAAAATTAGGAAGCAGTAGAAAGCAATAGGTACAATAAAAATCGCCCCATCATGGGCAAACTTTTCACCTGGACTCATTTTGTCCCAGAGCACTATGTGACCATCCTGACTAACTTCTTATCTCCTCAGACACAGAAGACAATATTGGTGTTCTATGTTTATCTCTGTGAGGCTTGGTTTTCAGGGTATCAGCCTCCCACTTGCTAATAACAGATGAAATGCCTGCTGAAACGTCCTAATTAGAAAGTGTGTGCCGTCACAACAGTGCCCAACCTTTCTTCTCCTGTAGGAAATATTCCTGTCCATGAGTCCCAGCCTTTAACTTCCAGGGGTGGGGGAAGAACTGGGATTCACTGCTCATCAGTCAGGAGTGGATGCTTTCTCACGGGACTACCGCAGGGCCTTTCACCAGGCCTTTCCACACCCATAGTACACCTGTGCCTAATCCATTGAGCCCTGCTTTTGATTGTACATGATTGAAATTTTCCACAACAGACACTAAAAGGAAATAACTGATGAATAAGTATTAGTACGCCAAACAGTAAAGTGACAGAATTTGGTGTACTACTCAAGGTTATAATAATAACGTTCAGGGGAAAGTGGAAGAGAAGCTTCTACAAGACAAAGCTTAGAGGGCCGACTTTGTTTTTCTATACTCTCCTTTAAAACTTTTCTCTATTGGCTATATTAAGGTTTCATTTTAGTAATAAAATGGGTTGAAATCTTGAAGATAGCGTCAAGTCAGATTAGCTCAAAATACATTAAATTTTTTAGAATCTACACTTGACAGAGTTAATTTTTTTTTTTTTTTTTTTTTTTTTTTTTTTTATTTGTCTTTTTGAGACAAGATCTCCCTGTAGCCCCAGCTGGTCTGGAACTTGCTATGTATAGCTGGCTGGCCTCAAACTCATCGAGATTCGCCTGCCTTTGCTGGGATTAAAGATGTGCACCACCATGCCCAGCTACAGAGCTAATTTTTAATAAATAGACAAATATTGAGAATCCATACTTTTTCTATATTGGCTTGGTGTCCTAGTGTAGCTTTAATTGACACAGTCTAAAGTCATCTGAGAGGAAAGTCTCAACTGAAGAAGTGCCTAGATCAGAAGGGCCTGTGGCCATGTCTGTGGGAGGCTATCTTCGTATTAACTGATGCATGAGGGCCCAGCCCACTGTGGGCAGTACCATCCCTAGGCAAGTAGTCTTAGACTGTTGAAGAAAGCTCACTGAGCATAAGCCTGTGGGTGAGTGAGCCAGAATTCTTTCAGGGTTTCTGCTGAATGCTCCTGCCCTGAGGTCCTGCCCTGACTTCCCTCATCAGTGGAAGTAGAAGCCAAATTAGCCCTTTCTTCCTAAGCTGCTTTTGGTGATGGTGTTTGTCACAGAAACAGAGAATAAACTAGGGCCCTTGGTAAACAAATAATGTCATATGATACTTCTGGTACTTTATCCTTCTGATAGGCCTGAGGGGTAGGAGATTGGTATCTGTTAAGTGTCTCACACAACCACATTAGCTAGAAACATAAGTAGATTGAGCTGGGGAAACGAAAACCTTCCATGTCGCCTCTGCCTCCGTCAGTCATTTTGGGGGCCTCCAACTTACAAGCAAAGCATTTTATCAGCGTTTCTGCCCCTTTGAGCCTTGCCTGTCATGGAGCATATCTTCTCTACTGTACACTGGTGTATGGTACAAATAGAGTTTTATGGTCAGACACAGGCTAAACCATGATACACCTTAATGAGGTAAATACAAAAAAAAAAAAAAAAAAAAAAAAGGCAATGTATACCACAACGATGTGCTTTAGCCCAGAAAGACCACAAAAAAAATTATCCAAATTTATCGCACAGGCAGTTGGTAGTAGTTTGGACATTGTAATCATATTTTACAAGCCCTGTCTTCCAAGACCACCATTGGATCCCCTTCTGATCTGAAAATCTAGTTAGTGCCTTGTAACCATCTTTTGTCTTCTTAATAAACACAAACTCTTCTTTGCCTTTAACTTGCAGCCCCAGTGGGCATTATTCCTGCCTTCCTCTCTGTTCTGTGCAACATTGAATCAACTCTAAGATGACATTACAAAAGGGGACAGATGATTTAAATTACCTAATTAGTTCATTAGTTTAATCCTAAATGTTCATTTGAACAAGGTCTTTTCCTATCATTAAACCATTGAGAATCAATGATTAAATACAAATTTAAAACCCCACAATTCAGAAGCTAAAACGAATAAACTGAGAGACAGAGCAGGTCAAAATTATCTGGCCTAAAAGCAATTCTGTTGCATAGAAATATGAAAAGCCTGAATTAGGCTTCCTCAACTTCAATATAAAAGTAAAATATATGAAAATCAAGAGCTTTGGTGTTTGAGTAATAACAAAAATCAGATAGTTATGATTCCAATATTGTTTTCATAAAAAAATTTAAGAGACCATGCCAGCTTTCTGGAATACATTAAAAGAAAATCAAGAACGCTCTATTGGAAAGAAAGAAAAAAAAAACAAACTATGTTTGCGACCAATGTTACTAAGCCATCATTTTTAACTTAAAGTCAGGCAGAGTATATTTTATTTGTTTGTTTTGTTCTTAAGAGACTTGGGGAATGTTTTATATTAAATATAAAGCCTAACAAAGGAACATGAATCCTCAATGATTTTTAATGGGGGTAACAGTGATAAAAATGAGGAGAGCTTTGGATAGTTCTCAAAGTTCACACGGGGTTAAACAAACCTCAAACAAATATCAGAATGACACTTGAATATCAGGTTTAAATCCATAATACCCATATTATTTCATAGGCCCTCACCCCCTGAAGCAAAAGTGGACAGGAGGCACTAAGGTCACCTCTACTCTCTCCAGAAAGTTTCTGAAAGCAAATTATGGTAGTCTCCAAATATGTGAGCTTAGCCCCTAGAACACATAAGGAACTCGGAACTTAAAGTCTGCATGAAAGAGTCCTTAGAGGAGAAAGTTGGCTCCAGAGACTATTTTTCCCTCACCATCTAAGCGCAGCCTTCAACTAGTGGCCCTGACACATCCTGAGACTCACCCTGTTGTGTGGCCCTGGCAGCTGTTTAAGCTAATCCACCTGTGCTGAAAACTGTGGGCTCAGCCAGCCAGCAAAGGGGTTCCCTGTGCCAGTTTCCAGGCACACTGACACTGCTCCCTGTGGGACGGATCTCCAGATGCTTCTGTTTCACAGGTCAGACCATTGGCTGATAAGTTTTTAACAAGTCCTAACCATAGGGGACGGCAAAGGGTCATTGCATTGAACTCAACATGAGGCACTTACACTGAGGTGGTCTGATGTCAAAGACAGAAGGTCTTTGTTGGAAGGATGAAGTTTTTCAAACAAAATGGTATCTGCTCCTTTGGAATAAAGTTTTATCTGTCCTTCTGGGTTTCGAACTGAAAAGAAGAAGTTTGAAGAAGCAGATTATATCATTGAAATCTGTCAAAACTGAACTCTCCTTCCCAGGACTCCAGATAGCCAGTGCAGAAATGGGCATAAGATTTCCGCCCAGAGTCTTTGACTAGACAGTCACTACCTAAGTCAGTTGACTTTATTCCTGTTTAATCAACTTAGAAATATTCATTCTACTGGAATCCTTTGATTTCCCAAACTCAGAAACAATTATTTTTATTCTGGTGGACATGACCCACCCATTCTCTTTGTCCACTACTGCTAAAGGGTCCAAAGTTTTAAAGTAAGTCATCTGTATTAAATAGAATTAAGAGCTTTGACTAAAAGCTCCTGAGGTAGAACCAGAGGCCTACTTTTCAAATAAATATCACTGCTACCTCAGCTCTTCTCCATAGGAGTTCTGACCAGTCCAGCATTGGTTGTACATCAGCTATTGGCCCTTTCTTCCCTGTTCTTATACAACTTTGCTTGGAAAAGCTCATTCCGTCTAATGGTTAATTCTTGGGTCCATCACAGCTGCAAACATACCTCACAGAGGACTTTAAAGAAATAAAACTTCCACCCTTCTCCCACTGGAAGTCTGTTACTTGCAGGCCTGTGTTCTTACCTGTTGTCCAGGTTTTTTGAATGACACCCTTTCCTGGACTCCCCTTCTCATCAATCTTACCTGCATATTCTAGTAAACAAATCTTATTTCCAAGCCACAGAAGAGTTGGTCCAGTTTGGTAGGCTTAGTTTTACATTTTGACACACAGTGGGCACTTAATAATCTGAATGAATTAATGAATGAATAAATGACACAGCATGACATAGTCATGTGTTTCTGCCTAGGAGGTACTACAATTGAAGGTAACTGTCCCAGCCACAACTTCACTTTGCAATTTGAGCATACCCTCATACACTTCATTAGTTTAATCAGGGAGTATTCCATGCTTTCCACTTACAGTTTTCTCTAAAAACAGAATGCCCCAGGACAAATGAACATAAATATCCACTACTATTCATTTAACATGGTGAAGCAAGGTAGGAAACAGACTGGAAAGGGGCAAACATTCATGAGCTCTTTTCCCCTAGCGTAGGCAATTCAAGGTAGGATATAAGAAAAACTGTACAAGGTCAGGCAATTAGACAAGCAGACCAAGGGTCTTAGAATAGAAGGCCATAACAAGACACAGTACTAAAAGATGTCCAGGGTGCATTATATCTGTTCAAGCCAGGAGGAAACTAGAATAGACAGTGTTAATCAAGGGTAATGTGCTAGTCTTTGTCAACTGGCACAAACTAGAGTCACCTGGGAAGAAGGGGCCTCAACTGAGGAATCTCCTCCATCAGAATTGCCTATGGCCATATCTGTGAGGCATTTTCTTAGCTGATAGATGTGGGAGTGGGAGGGCCCAGCCCACTGTGGGTGGTGCCATCCCTAGGCAGGTGGTCTGGGCTATATAAGAAAAGTAGCTGATTAAGTCATGACGAGCGTTCCTCCCTGGGTTCTGCTTTAAGCTCCTACCCTGAGTTCCTGTCTTGACTTCCCTCGATGATGGACCACAACCTGCAAACCAAATAAAACTTTTCCTCCTCTGAGTTTGTTTTGGTCAGTGTTTTATTAGAGCAATAAGAATAGCAAATTAGGACAGGTAACACTTACTGTGCTTTCATAGTTACATTCCTCCAACCCTTAACACTTTTTATCCTTTTATGATTGTAGCCTTTTAGATGAAACTGATCATTTGGGGGTATGGGGGAGACAGGGTCTCACTATACAGCCAAGGCTATCCCCAAATATGATCTTTCTCCTTTCTACCTCCCATGTGCTGAGGTTATGTTAAACAGTCTTCACTCATGTGGGAATTCTGGAGAGCTATTGTAATTTATTCCTTGATAATTATCTGCCACTTGCCTCTATTTAGTATCTTTGAATTTTCTACACCACTATGTACTGAATTAGTACAATAGGTTCTGCCATAATCTTACAATGAGATTTGTATGTGAACTAATTAGTAGATTCTGAGTCCTTTGACAAAATGCTATAGAAACCAACATTTTAGATAGCACTGACTTAAATCAGGGCTCTTGACCCAGAATTGAAACTATACGTGGATGATGAGTTAATGAAGGATAGACCAAAAAAGAAAGAAAAAAACAGGAGAGAGAGGATGGAGAAGGAAGCAGAGGGAGGAGGTGAAGGGAAAGGCCGAGGAGGAGGGAGAGATCAACAACAGCTGAGCCTCTGCGGCAGGGTGCTGTCCCCACAGACCAAGCCACGGGACCATCAGGAGACTGGGTCTGTTTCCTGCCCAGTATCAGAGACGTTTCTGTTCTAGGTGAGTCTCTTTCAATGCCCCCTCCCCCATTAAAAGCCAAGCAGCCAAAATAAAGCCTGCGAGCTTCCATTCTGTGACCATTACCTTTCCTCATGTGGAATCCATTAAGGCAGACAGGCATCTGATGTCTGCGGTTAGGCTGAGAATTCTCCACAGCCTGTAATGGTGACCAGTCCTGAGGAAAACCCAAACATCTCCCCATGTAACAATCTTAGCTTTTTGTCAACACCCTCAGAGCAAAGAGAAATCAGTTCTGAGCCAAATGAACACCACTGACACCTCCCTGAGGTTTTAAGGAGAGACAGACCCTGCTGACGCGACACTGAGCCAACAGTGTGTGTTGACTTCTTAGCTGATGGTGACTGCCTATGGTCTGTTATCATAAAAAATAAAAATGGATATCCTCAGACGGTGTCTGTTTTTACCTTCTGAGAACAACCTTTCGAAGCTGTTTCAGTAGAGACAAAATGGATATACACATTTTCCATGGTAGGAATTTAATACAGTGATTGAGAAGTTCTTAAGTTACAACATATTGGATAGAATTCTATTCGACAAAATTTGTAGGGGATATACTGTGTGCCAGTCCAGTGCTTGGACCTAGTATGAAAAGATAAAGCACTGCACCTGACCTCAGGTAGCACACAGCCTTTAGGCTGGGAGAAACTTGGTGTTACACTGTCAAAGAATGAATAAAGCATTCTGGAGATACAGTTATCTTAAAAACATAAGAGAGAAAACAAATGATATTTGAATTGGACATTCCCAGATCAGTAGACTTTTTCAACAAAAAAAAAATTAAGAAAAAATTGTCATATATAT